GGACTGCGGGTGGCCTTGGAGCAGTCCACCCAGCCTACCTGCACGGTGGGAGTGTGGATTGATGCTGGAAGCCCGTGCAAGACTGAAAAAAACAATGGTGCAGGCTACTTTTTGGAGCACCTGGCTTTCAAGGGAACAAAGAATCGACCTGGGGGTGATCTGGAGAAAGAGGTGGAGAGCATGGGAGCCCATCTTAATGCCTACAGCACTAGGGAACACACAGATTACTATATCAAGGCACTGTCCATGGACTTGCCAAAAGCTGTGGAAATTCTGGCAGACATTGTGCAAAACTGTTAGCCTGGAAGACTCACAGATTGAGAAGGAGTGTGATGTGATCCTACGTGAGCTGCAGGAGAATGATGCTTCCCTGCGGGATGTGGTCTTTGACTATCTGCATGCCACAGCATCCCAGGGCAACCCCCTGGCTCATCCTGTGGAGGGGCCCAGTGAGAACGTCAGGAAGCTGTCACGTGCAGACTTGACCGACTACCTCAGGAGACATCACAAGGCCCCACGAATGGTGCTTGCAGCAGCTGGAGAAGTGGAACACCGTCAGCTCCTCGACCTCGCCCAGAAGCACTTCGGTAGCATCTCTCAGACGTACCCAGAGGACGCTGTTCCCACCATCCAGCCGTGCCGCTTCACCGGCAGCGAGATCCTCCATCACGATGATGCCCTTCCCCTGGCCCATGTGGCCATTGCAGTGGAGGGACCTGGCTGGGCAAACCCGGATTACGTTGCCCTCCAAGTGGCCAATGCCATTATTGGCCACTCTGACTGCACCTACTGTGGTGGCAAGAACCTGTCCAGCCCTCTGGCTGCTGTTGCTGTGGCCAAAAAGCTGTGCCAGAGTTTCCAGGCCTTCAACATCTGCTATGCGGAAACAGGGCTCCTGGGGGCACACTTTGTGACCACATTAGCATTGTACCATGGACTGCCAAGAAAACAAACAGAATCATCCTGGAGAGTGTTAAACCAGGTTGCTCCTTTGAGGCAAGGATTCTGGGGCTTTGTCTAACATACTTTGGACATGTTGTAAGGAGTGACAGGTCCTTGGAGCGGGACATCATGTTTGGGAGGGTGGAGGGACGGTGCAAGAGGGGATGACCCTCTATGAGGTGGATTGATTCAATGATTGGGGTAATCAGGATGGGTGTATCAGAGGCAGTGCGATTGGCACAGGATAGAGCAGGGTTTAGGGCTGGTGTACATAGGGTCGCTATGAGTCTCAAGTCACTCGATGGCACGTAACAACAACATTTGCAATGAATAAATCATTCATTGTACTAAATTCTATAGTTCAATCTCCAGTGTAATTTCTACCACCAAGGCCATATTTTCAATTACACTTCCTTCTTCATTTCTGTCTTTTGCATTTAAGTCATCCATTTTTATTAATGTATCTTGACTGTATATTTGATCAACTTTAGACTGCAAAAATTGGTAGAAATTCTCGATTTCTTCATCTTTGGATTTTGTGGCCAGTGTATATGTTTGAATAATGGTTGTATTAATAGGATTTCCATATTTGTGAATGGATAGTATCCTATCACTAAAAGCATTCTACATCAGGATGGATTTGAAATGCTCTTTTTGAAATTAATACCACACCATTCCTTTTCAATTTATTATTTCTGGAATAATTGATGATTTCATTGTTCAATTAAAAATCCCAGTACTGATCCATCTCTCAAATGCCAATCCAGTTTATGAAAACCTAGGATGTCAAACTTTATGAATTCCTTTCGTTTTTTTGTTTACATAATCAGCTTTTCTCTGATTAATACTTCACACATTCCATGTTCCAATTGTTATTGGATATTTATAGCTGTTCCTCTTCAAGTTTGTTGTTGTTATTGTTGTGTGCCATTGAGTCACCTGTGACTTATAACAACACTATGTACAACAGTTCTGAAACCTACCCTGTCCTGAGCCAGTCTCACTGATTCCGAGACATCTACCCCCACTGCCCCAGTTACCATGTCAATCTGCCTTATCCGGGGTCTTCCTCTCTTGTGCTGTCCTCCACCCTCTTGAGCATTATATCCATCTCCAAGAACTGGTCCCTCTTGACCACATGCCTGAAGTATGTGAGATGGAGTATAAGAATCCCAGCCTCCAACAAGAAATTTGGTTTCACCGCTCCAAGGCACACATATCAGCAAATGAAAATTCTTCATTGGATGAAAGCTATACTTCATCCACTTCATTATAGCATATTCTACTTTGAGGAGGCAACTCTTCCCCAGTCACATTTTTAGTGCCTTCCAACCTGAGGGGCTGATCTTCTGACACCATATCAAACACTATTCTTTCCTTGTCTATGGAGTTTTCTAAGGCCTGTTATTTTAGAAGTGGATGGTCATTCCTGCTTCTTAGCCTGTCCTAGTCTGGAACCTCCACTGAAATCTGTCCACTATGGGTGACCCAACTAGTATAGCTAACATCATCACAGTAACACACATGCCATTATAGTACAGAAAACTGACAGAGGAGTGGTGGTCTAGTATTGAAATGTAATCTATATTTCTCCAACCCATCTATCTATGGTCAACTGATTTTTGACAAGGAAATGAAATCAGTGAAGTGGGGAAATGACAGCCTTTTTAACAAATGGTGTTGGCAAAATTGGAAAAATATCTGCAAAAGACTCAAGCAAGACCCACACCTCACTCCATACACA